GCTCTTAACTCTGCCCCTTCGTTAAGTTGTAGCTGCTTTCTCAGGCAGCCCACTTTGTGCAGGCATTTACGTTAATGTCTGCCGCAGGGGACAAGTAGGGAAAACAAAACTGAAATGAAGCCAGATGGAAACAAAAGGGGTACCCAGCAAATATTCCCAATACTATTTTGACCTTTTAGGGAAACCTTTAATATGCCACTGTCCCACAGCCAGGGAGAAGGTAGTCAGGTTACCTTTAACAGCACTTTCCGCAGCAGCTTGGATGAAAAACCTGGCCATCCTGGAAGAGAGGGTGGTCATCAGGGTCTTCCCTTGAGCACAATGTCCTGGTTTATTACTCCTTCTTCTAGAAGTTGGGATGTTTTCCTTCATAGTCTGAGTGTTTCTAGATCCCTTTTTGCCCTGTCTCTACTTTTCTGGGTGCAATTGTATCCCTGCAAATACGAATGGAAACACAGCGTGGTGATGCTTTCCTGGATTTGCTTCAGTGTTTCCTGAATCCTGTTGAAAACTTTAACTCTCAAAAAATTATTAAGATCTTTTTGGTCTCATTCTGGTTTTGGTGTCTGGATCCTTCTAACATATTAAGGATTAATTGTGGTAGCTGTGTCCTTAACTCTGCCCCCAAATACTTACAATTTTCCACTGTGGGTTCTCTGGTGTTGTTGAACTGCATGTTCTCTTTATCAGAAAGATACTGACTCGAAAACATCGTAAGAGTTTCCTTCTTTTCTCCTAAGTTTCCTTCTTTTCACAATAGGAGAAAAGTTTAATCAGAAATGCGAAGTTTCAAGTGGGTGACTATCAAACTAGGTATTTGCTCCAGGGAATATGAATCTCTTACAATATTTATGATGATTCAGCAACATTTTTTTCATTCTCTGCTTTGTTCTTTATCATAATCTTTATTGCAAGAAGAGATTGGTTTTTCATTGAACCTTGAAGACAATAAATTTATTATCATTTTCACTTCTTACAGTAAGGAGCTAAAGGTTAGCTGCACAGAAAGCTTTTTTTTTTTTTTCCATTCTGCAATTATTTTCCTTGTTGCCAACAGCATTTTTATTTTTGATGAACATAGTTGTACTGGATTATTCTCTTGGACGGAGAACAGAGGTTTCTGAGATATTTATCATACACACCTCTTTGGCCTTTGGAGTTATAACCTTAAATATAGGCTGATATTAGGCAGATATGTGTGCATTTCACCGAGTGATAAAAGCTAAGTACACCTGCATAGGTTATGCTATCGATTTGCGCTGCTGGAGGATCTGACCACACTATGGACAACATTGTTTCGTGGTCAACAGGAGCAGGGCAGAAGCATTGAACCCTATTGCCAGAAGCGCTGTGGCGAGAGCACTCCCTTAGCTCTGGGAGCAGACATGGCGTGGCTGGGTGCTGCGGCTGCGTAGGTGCCTGTGCTCACACCCAACCCCCAGGTGTTGCAAGGCTCACAAGGTAAAACGTTCACAGTGCCCTGGCCTATCCCCCACCCTTCCCTACGGAGCGGTTCTGATTTCTAGTGGGCAAAAGCACCAGTGCCCCTCTAGTACTTCTCATAGGTATGGCAAGAGAATGCCCTGATACCCAAGTTTCGTGTTTCTACCCTCTGTTATGTTTTCTGATATATACATGTATGTACACATAGAGATCTTCTCCCTGCTGCAGGGCTTTCAGTGAGCAAACACTGAGAACCGAATAAAAGATCATAAAGCCTGAGATTTTTAGATTTTGTTTTTTTTTTTAAAGCACAGCAGACGGCTTTTCTGAGCACCTGTGCCAGGTTGGGAGCCCCACTGACAACGCGCAGATTGTCATACCCCGCTGTACACTGAGCGG